TGTCCTCAGTGCACTCAGAGCTGGTGACCAGGGCTGGTGACCAAGGGCTGGTCCTGTGTCTTTAGCCTTGTGGCAGTTTCTTTCCAGACTTGTTTGAAATCATAGCCACTTAGGTCTTGGCCGGGAGAGGGCTACTTCTGTCAAGGTAAGGTGTCCCTCCTGCAGTGGAGGCCACACTGCTGAAGCTACATTTTGAACTAAAGGATATTTATCTTCTAATGAGATATTTTAGGCAGAAAGGAGAAAAAAATGACTGACTGCCGCAGCCTGCATTGAAATCAGCATGCCCTTGAGTTTATATGGTCCAGAGTGCTCTTCAGAGTTACAAGGGGCATAAACTCAGGGGTTTGGTAGGTCAGTAGATGTTCAGGATGACTGAAAGCTATCATAAAAACGCACTTACCTTTTATCCTTCCCACCTAAAGTGCACACTCCTGAATGGACCTCATCAGTCTCAGCTGTTTCAAAACTCTTCTCTGGACATCAGTGAAATGGCCAGGCTACCCAGACCAAAGTGGAGGGAGTGGGGCCATTGGAAGCCTGGCTGAGGTAAAGATGCAATTTTGGGGATGGTCATGAGGCTACAGTAGCAGAAATTATGGGGTCACTTGCTTAAGATAAGGACAATTAGCAAACTAATAGCTGGCAACCATGTTTACCTTCTCCCAGAGTCACTAAGGCAAAAAGTACCAGTGTTTTCTCAAACATATTGCCATAAGCAACTTGGGAGAAGAAGATATTTATTAAAAGCACAAAATCAGAAATGTAGATAGAAATATAGATGTAAAGTTTTCACTCCAGTATTATTTATAATATTGAAAAACTGAAACCAACCTATAATAGAATAAGAGAAATAGCTAGATAAAATTAAGGTACATCAATAAGACAGAGTATTGCATAGCCATTAAAAAGGATGTTAACCAAAAAGACTTAACAATGTAGGAAAATATTCACAATTAAGGAAAAAGCAGAATAAAAATTGTGTGTGCCATGCGAGACTATATTAATAATTCTTAATTTTATGTAGGAGAATTCTGTATCATTTTCATTTTCTTCTGTGTTTTCCAGATTTTCTGCAAGAAACATGTATTATATGTATATTCAGAAAGCCTAAAGAGAGGACTAGATATTTTAATTAAATAAGGTAGTCACTTTATATAGGATATGTTAAAGGTTTCTCAAGATTCTTAACTCCCCACTTGCATAAAATATTATTTAGTTTTAAGTACAATTCCTTAATTGAAAAAAAGTACTTATTAAGTATCTAAAATTTGCTGGGTAATTTATTTATTTGTGAAATAAATATTTACTAGGGACTGAGCAAGAGGTATGGAAAATAACAGAATGGATTCTCTGCCCCCTTGGAACTACGAATCGGAGGTAAAAGACAAGAAGAAGCTCTCCCCTCAAGCATCTCCAGAATCCAAAGGTTACAGACAGGCCTGCTGAGGACACACAGGTGCGGGCTGAGGGCGTAGGCTGTGGGCTGCAGGGTTCTGCCAAGAGAGAGGGAAGGGAATGGAGTGGGCTGTTGGTCAGGAGCCCAGGGCAAACGCGGGTAAATGCCTCATGGTTTCCTTCTTGTGGCTTGTATTAGTTCGCCAAATGTTTCCTTATCCCTTCTACTGGAGGGGTTTAACTGTGTTCAAAATAGGCTACTTTTTAAGAGTCCCATTTTAATTGAAAAAAAAGAAAAGAACGATAGGAGTTTCCATGACCATAACCACCCTACAGCTAAGCAGAGGAATCTGCCACTGCCATGGACTGAATGTTCATGCCACCCCCACCCCCACCCTCTCAAGTGTTGGAAGCCTGTGGGGCGGTGTTAGAAGGCAGGGGCTCTGGGGGGCACTTAGGTCATGACGGTGGAACCTTCAGGAATGGAATTAGTGCCTTTATAAAAGAGATCCCGGAGCGCCCTGCTCCTTCCACCATGTGAGGACACAGACATCTGAGATCCACATGTCATCTCTTAGGAGCTTTTTTCTTCTCTCTGATCATGAAAAACATGTAGTTGACCCTCGACCCCTGAACGTTCAAGAATCTGAGGCATATTTAAAGCCTAACTACAGAAACCATGCAGTCACCCCACCTCAACACCTGAACATATATTCAGTCTTGCCTTTCTCCTATTATATATGAGCTCATTGGTCCTGATTCCTTCACCACCATTTTTCTTGTATATCTGTGGCCATCAGATAAAAGTCCTAGTATTAATAAGGATTTATTTACTATGTATTAATAAGGACATGAAAAGGTAATTCCCAACAATAGCCCTGTGAAACGATTAGCCTCACAATATGTCTCAGTTTTACCAGACGAGGAAGCAAAGGTAACGTTGTGTCGGGTTGTGTACAACTGTGTAACCATGAGTATTTGCATGTTGAAAGAGATAAATCCCATGATGGAATCTCTAACATCAGTGGGGGAGAGCTTTGTCTCTGTCACACACAGATAAGCCTCATCCTGTCAACTGATTTAACTGCTCTTTTTATGAACCTGCGACCGATAGAGCCTGCGTGATTTTTTTAAATGATGGGGAGAAATTGTCAGATGATGTGGAAGGTAGAGTTTGTTTTCCTAGGGAAGGACTGAGGACACAGACAAGAGGACTAGCTACGGGGAGAAAAAGAAGGGGGTGGGGGAGAGCTGAGTAATTTCGAATGAAAAATTAAATTAATTTAAAATCTAATTTAAAGCAAAATAGAGCAGCAGATGTGGAGGGAGTTGAAACTCCTCCTTGGATTGTATCCCCTAAACTTTCCTGTTCTTTCATTCAGCCTGAACATCATCCTATTTATACCGAATAGCAAAACTGGATTAATTAAGAAATAAAATACTCCAGGCAGTTTGTTTCTAGGGATTGTGTTTATACACAGCATGTATAAGAAGACAGAAATGCTTATAATTTTAATTTCTCCAAAAAGAAAGACCACCCACACTTTCTACCCCAAACTTTTTAATGATGATTTCCCTGTGGGGGGCTCTCCGTGATCTGTAAGGCCCAGAATTAAGCATTAGTAAAATACATACGTATTTTTGCAGTTCGTTTATTCTCACAGCAAATGCTTATTGGTGAACACCTTGTGTGAGTCAGAAGCCATGCAACCTTCTCGGTTGTGCACGTGGTTTTACAGGCAGTTTGGATGCCCAGATCCAAAGTCGAGTTGCAGGCCAGATTGGTCAAGGCTTCTGTAAAGTTGTCAACAGCAAGACAGGTCATATCAAAACATGAGAGAATAACACTGCTTCCTTTGTGCTGTCACAGGACAAGTGTGAAATAAAGCAGCCACCAAGGAGCCTTGCCAGGAAATTTGTGCTTTTCGTGGGATGAATTTCCACTCCCTGGAGATGTGTGAATAGCAAATCAGGATGCATACTGCTGGTTTGTCTCCTGCTAGGCACGGGTCTGACCCCTGCTAAAACACCTCTAAATTTAATCACAGAAGTTGTCTGGATCTACCCTCATCTGGTATAAAAATCATTCCACTGGGCTTTCTATTTAGTGATGCTCTGCTCAAGGTGTTTACATTTTTAAAAAATCTAATCAACGGCTCAATTGAAACCTGCATTTGTATATGTCTTTCTGCGCGTGTTTAAGCATCACAATAGAATTTCTAGTGACCAGGCAAGAGAAACCAGATGGGGATACTCATGTGCAAAGGAACCGATGTTAGAAAGGTGAGAAATCTCACTAGCTCACAGCAACAGCAATCATATCTAATGCTTATTGAATGCCTACTAGGTGCCCAGCACTGGGTCAGTGCGTCCATGCTGTCTGAGTTTCCTGGCGGCCATAACAAAGTTCCACAAACTGGGTGGCTTCACACAAAGTTATCGTCTCCCAGTTCTGGAGGCCAGAAGCTGGAGATCAAGGTACCAGCATGGTCGCCTCTTTCTGAGGGCTATGAAAAGGACTGTGTTCCAAGCCTCTCTCCCAGCTCCTGGCGGTTTGTTGGAATCTTTGGAATTCATCGGCTTGTAGGTACGTCACTCCGATCTCTCCCTTCACCTTCACATGTCATTCTCTCTGTTTGAGGGTCTCTCTTTCTCTCCAAGTTCCCTCTTTTCATAAGGACACCAGTTGTATTGGATTAGGGCCTACCCTAATGACCTCGTCTTAACTTGACCATTTGCAAAGACCCTATTACTAAACAAGGTCACCTTCCCAGGTCCTGGGGATTGGGATTTTGATATCTTTGGGGGGAACACAGTTCAACCCATACCATGTGCATTATTAGCTCACTCAATGTTGAAGTAGGGACTATGATCATCACCATTCCAACCAGAGCACTGAGGCTTAGAAAGTCTTGCTTTCTTTTTCCGAATCCATCTACTGCACAAATGGCAGAACCAGGGTTCAGAGCCAGACTGCTTGACTCAAAAGATAATGTTCTTACTCACCACTGGGATTTTCCTAAGAAGCCTGGAGAACTTTCCTGAACTTTCAACTGCTTGACACTGGTTATGCTCTGTGATCATCCGATCTACTCACCAGAATACTGGCTACCAATGACTGGGCACCTACTGTGAATATTTGCATAATCTCATGTAACTCCCTTCTTGGAGGGGGGGACTTTGGAAGCCTAATACTCTTTACACTCATTCAGAGATCAACAAATTAAAGGTCACAAAAGTTGAGACTATCTGGTCAAGGTCATAAATGAAGTCAGGGTTGAGCCAGGATTCGAGTCACGCTCTCCCCTGTCTTCATCCTGAAGGTGTATTTCTCCCCACTGTGCTTTGTCGCTTTTCGTTTATCAGACTATCATTTAGTCACATTAAAAAACAAGATCCATGTCAATCTCACCAGTGCTGTATTTAAAAGTGTGACCCAAACAAACTTTAATTCCTAGGAATTTAAATCAGACAGGAAAGGTGTGGGGAAATATCAAATATTTGCAGGGTTACCTGGGCAACCTTGCCCGTGCAGGATCGATAGGTAATGACTAAGCAGCAGGGGCAGCTGAGGGTTTTTGACACATGGGGCCAGTCTTCGTTTTTCTGCATGTGATTTGCCCAGCTGTGTGTGTGGAAGGGGAAAAGACATGTATCTATTTAGCAGAATGATGTACCGAAACAAAAGGAGGAATCATTTTACTCATGCTTAGGTAAGATGTTTTCATCCTTCTTAAATTTCACAGTGTGCGTTTTGGGGGTCAAAGCAACTGACAAGCAATTTGAGGGCAGAAAGTGCAGGTGCTGAGCACAAACAGAAGAGACCCCAGGTGGTGGGGACATGTGCTGAGGAAGGAGAGTTCATGCTGGCAAGTGTCGAACATCGATGGGCATCAATTAGGAAGAGTCCTGGGCAAAATATATGAAGATCTTCTGGCAGTTGTTGACCGTTACCAATTTTTATTTTCTGACATTCACAAAAATGGGAAGAATACAGGTCTCTGCTCCCTGGGGCTTTGCACTTGACCAAATACCTTCTGAGGGCATCGGCGGCTTTATAGTGCCATCATGTGGTCGTTTCTCAGCCTGCTCAAAAAGTCCACTAGAGCCACGCTTGGCAGGGAACCAGAATGATTCAGATCTGATTGTGTTGGGCGGCCGGTGAGAGTGGTGCTGGCTAGCTCTGCATCTGATAGAGGCAGCCATGGTGTGTGTGCTGGGAGAGAGGGGAAGAAAGGGCTGAGATCCCTGGAGGAGAGCAGGGGTGGGACGAGGAGGAGGCAGGCAGCTGGCAGAGCGGAAATGTATCCACTGGGGATTTGGGCCACACTAGTGGGACTGGGTTCATTGGCAAGAGTAAGGATAGGCCCCAACCCTCATGGGGTGGATGGGACCAGAAAATAAAGTAGGATTCGGAGTTAAACTTCCGTTATCGCCTTGCCTGATCCCTGGCTCAAAAGAATCCAGGTGCCCCGTGCGTCTCACTCAGGAGAGTGCTGTTAAGTCCTACCCAGCCCTGCCTGGGCCTTCCCCAGGGCAGGGCTGGGCTACAACCCCACTGGCCACACACTCCTCCCCAGCAGAGGGAGGGAACCGAGCCCACAGAGGAGAATCTGGGGCCTGAGTCTCATCCTCTTCGGTCTGGACACTAGGAGGGTAAGAGGCTTACAGGCCCTGTAGAGATGAAGACCAACTGAATGAGGAAAGCAGAGGCTATTTCTTCTCAGGTTGTTAAAGCAAGGGAGTCAGTCAGCCACCGTCATTTTCCTTCCGTCTGGGATCCTGGGCAGGCAGAGGAGTGGGACAACTTTACAGAGCGAAACAGAGGAGACCTCAGGTGTGTGGCGATGGGACACCCTTGGCCCAGGGAAGCTGTCGGCAGGGTTGACCACAAGTGGGGAGTCCTGAGTAGTTGGTTAGGGGACATTTGAAAAGGGACCCCAAAAACTGGAATTATCTTCTGGAGGAAGGGCTCCTTGTAATACAAGCATCCCCCACTAGGTGAGTGTTCCAGAAACCCACCCGTATCAGCGCACCAGCTAGCACTATCATGAGAGGCTGTATTTGGCTTTGATGAGTTTTTTTTCAAGAATCTTTCAACGCATTTACCCATTTTACAATGGGTGATTTATGAGCACACTTGCCCACACCTTGCTGAGTGTTGAGCAGTTTTTGACTAAAAATGGCATGACCCCCATACCCCACCCTCCCCATTCACCTGATCTCGCCCTGAGTGACATTTTTTTGTGTCACCAAGTAAGAGAAGTCTTCAAAAGGAAACATTTTACCCATGTGGAAGAGGTAAAACAAAAAAATCACAGAAGAACTAAAATGCATCAAAATCAATGAGTTCAAAAAACCATTTTGAACTATTGAAAAAAATCTCAATAGGTGGATTACATCAAATGGAGAGTACTTTGAAGGTGACTGAAGCTTAAACATGTAAGAATAAATACACAATTTTTTATAAATAAATTCTTTTTCTTTTGGTGGGGTCCCCTTCTCATATGTAGCTTTCTCTGGCTGGTCATAAGTTGGAAGCAGAGACATAAATTAGGGAAGTTGTCGGTTATTAATCAAGTCCTGGCCATTTGGGGTCAATTGTTGCAGGAGTTATTGTTGAGCTTCCTGGATTGTCAATAGAGATAGCAATTGGGCTTCCTGTAAATCTGACTCACTTACGGCAGACTGGCTTTCTGGGTTGTTTATTGTGGATAAGAGGATTCGTTTTCTGGGAAGGTTGCTGCAAATTGGGGCCTTGGAGCCAGCAGGGAGGGAGAGGCTTCCATGGGTGGATTCTCCTCTGCCTGATGTCTCCCCTGCCAGTGCCTCCCAGGGGATGAACCCACCTGGAAGCCAGAGGACAGAACATGTCATCCTTAGATGGGCCAGGAATGGATGTAGAGGGGTCAGGTGGGGAATAACCAACACATCCACATAGCATTTCGTTGTTCATGTATCTGTGATGCCCCCTTGCACCCCTTAAACTCTGCGGGATGAGTTGTAAACGTTACGTGAATAGACTGTAAATGTGTGGATCAGTGACCCAAAGAGAAGTTGGGAGCTGGGGGCAAACAAAATAGAGGCATGTACCATCCCTCTAAACCCCTGGGACAGGACCCTCTGCAGGCCAGGAGTCACAGCCCTCAGGTCCCACCCAGGACACAGTACTGAAGCCATATTTCTTAGCCAGAGCTCTGCCACTAAGGAGCATGCTTTGGAAGTGAAGGGAATAGTCCGTAGGAGGGACTCTCGTGACTCAGCATCACCACCAGCTAACAAACTCTGGAAACATTACAGTCAAAGTTGCTCTCTTAACAAAGAGGGAGTGTTCTCTTCGTTAACACTCTCTGTTAACAAAGAGAGTGCTTCCCTGAGTCTTTTGAGAGCATAGCACTCTAATTCTCAGGGGCAGGTGCTGAAGACCTGAGCCAAGTTGCCTGGAAGTGACGAGAGCCAAGCAGTTGGGAGTGACAGTAGCAAAGCATTACTTTGCAAGAAGGGCAAAACTGGTACCTGTCAGTGTGGGCTTCCAGGCTTCACCAGAGGAGAGCAGGTGACAAGGTGCAAGTCCCAGGCTGGCAGAAACAGTGTTTTCTTGCAGGAGGAAGCCAGCCTGACAATCTGATGCATCATGGTGAAGCCAAGCTTCCCATCTGCCATCAGAACAAACTCCACCCATATCACTACTTCATTTTAAATTGTGGTAAATACGCATGCAATTGACCATTTAACCATTTTTAAGTGTACGGGTCAGTAGTAAGTACATTTATGTTGTTGTAAAACTAAGAGCTCTTCACGTCATGTAAAACTGAACCCTACACCCGCTGAACAACAACCCACCATTGTCCTCTCCTCCCAGGCCCGGGCTACCACCATTCTACTTTCAGTCTCTATGGATTCAACTACTCCACGTACCTCTTGTAAGCGGGAGCACACAGTATCTGTCTCTTTGTGACCGGCTTATTTCAGTCACTACAGTGTCCTCCAGGTTCATCCACATTGTAGCTTGTGTCAGAATGTCTTCCTTTCCTTCCTCGTTTTGTTTGCCCATCCATCCATCGATGAGCATTTGGGTTGCTCCCACCTTTTGGGTACTCGGAATAGGGCTGCTGTAAATGTGGGTGTGCAAACATCTCTTTGAGACCCTGCTTTCGATTCTTTGAAGTATAGACCCCAAAACGAAACTGCGGCACATCTCTTTTGTATTCATCTCTGCCCACTGTTTTCAGCGACCATGGCAGGAAAAGGCTAGGATTTGAAGTCACTGCCTTGGCTTTTAAGTCTCCATGTCAACCTTCTACTGGCTACGTAACCTTGGGCATGTTTCCTAACATCTCTAAAACCTGTGCTTTTCCCCTCTAAAATGAAATATAATACCCACAGTATTAGTTTCCTAAGGATACAATAACAAAGTCCTGCAAATTATGTGGCTTCAAACAATGGAAATGTGTTTTCTCATAATCTTGAGCTAAAAGTCCGAAATCGAGATGTCACCAGGACTGGTCTCTTCTCGATGGCTCAGAATCTGTTCCTGCCTCTCTCCTGGCTTCAGGTAATTGGTGCCATGCTTGCCCTCCCTGTCCTGCAGCTGCATAACTCTAAGGTCTGCCTTCAAAGACACCTCTAGTGGCTGTCTTCCCTTGTGCACCTGCATCTTCGTGTAGCATTCTCCTCTCTCTACAAGTCTAAATTTTCTTCATTTTATAAGGACACTCACATAGGATTAAGGCCCATCCTAATGCAGTGTGAACTCATCCTAACTTGATTATATCTGCAAAGATCTTGTTTCTAAATAAGGACATCCACATAGGGTTAAGGCCCATCCTAATGCAGTGTGAACTCATCCTAACTTGATTATATCTGCAAAGATCTTATTTCTAAATAAGGACACCCACATAGGGTTAAGGCCCATCCTAATGCAGTGTGAACTCATCCTAACTTGATTATATCTGCAAAGATCTTATTTCTAAATAAGGTCACATGACAGATGCTGGAATTAGGACTTAAACATTACTGTCAGAGAGACCTAATTCAACCCATACCTGCCCTCCAGGGTCTCTGTGAGCATTGCATGCATTTTGTACATGCTGAGGCATCAACTGAATGGGAGTCATGATCACTGCTAAGCTGACATTTAGCTTGTGTGTCTTCTGACAGCAAGAGCTTCTTTCTCCCTGAGCTGCTTGGTTTATTTTAGAGTGTTAAGCCCACTCTTGTTTACTGTATCCCTCTGGTTTCAACTGGGACTACATTCGCTGTGTGTTATTAAATGTTCAATGTCGTTTTTATCCCTGGGAGAAGAAAGAACATTAAGTGTAGACTTTAGCAGATAAATTCGGCCCCTTATTCTATTTTTTTTGTTGCTTTTGGTCTCTAAAGAACACATTCTCGGCTGCTTTGCACTACCCCCTTTTCCCAGAGGACAGGCAGAAGCAAACCTGGCATGTCTAGGATGGTCTCAGGAAGCGAATTGGGACTGTGAGGTCACTGCATTCTTCCCCGCTATTCAGTAGTTGCCACCTCCATAAATGCCACACCCCAGAGAGGTAAGATATAAGAAGGCAAAGCCATTATCTGAGGAATGGTGCAATCTGCCCTGTGAGTTTCTTCCCAAGAGACAGGGACAGGAGTTGACAATGTAAAGTGAGCTGAAAAAGGGGCAGGAGAGGGACCTTTCTGGGCACGTGTCTTTATTGTTTACCACATGCTA